GCTTACTCAGGAAGGCATGCTGAAAGCCGAGATAGGCTAAAAGGTAAGCCTCCTGCACCAGATGGCCAAGTTGTGAATGCAAAGGAAAAGTTCTTGAAGGAAATTAAAAGTGCTACTCCAGCGAACACATGAATGATAAGAAAGCGTAACAGGGTTACTGCTGATATGGAGAATGTTTTAGTGGTCAGGACAGAAGATCGAATCAGCCACAACATTCCCTTCAGCCAAAACCTAATCCAGAGCAATTCTATGAAGGCTGAGACAGGTGAGGAAGCTGTAGAAGAAATGTGAAGCTAGCACAAGTTGGTTCATGAGGTTTAAAGAAAGAAGCCATCTCTATAACATAAAAGTGCAAGGTAAAGCAGCAAGTGGTGATGTAGAAGCTGCAGCAAGTTATCCAGTTGATCTAGCTAGATAACTGATGAAAGCGGCTACACTAAACAACAGATTTTCAATGTATATGAAACAGCTATACATTGGAAGAAGATACTATCTAGGACTTTCATGGCTAGAGAGGAGAGTCAATGCCTGGCTTCAAAGCTTCAAAGGACAGGCTGACTCTCTCGTTAGGGGTGAATGCAGCTGGTGACTTTAAGTTGAAGCCAGCGCTCATTTACCATTCTGAAAATCCTAAGGCCCTTAAGAATTATGCTAAATTTACTCTGCCTGTGCTTTATAAATGGAACAACAAAGCCTGTACGACAGAACATCTCTTTACAACATGGTTTACTGAATATTTTAAGCCCACTGTTGAGACCTACTGCACAGAGAAAAGATTCCTTTCAAAATATTACTGCTCAATGACAATGCACCTGGTCACCCAAGAGCTCTGACAGAGATGTACAAGGAGATTAACGTTGTTTTCATGCCTGCTAACACAACATCCATTCTGTAGCCCATGGATCAAGGAGTAATTTCAACTTTGAAGTCTTATTATGTAAGAAATATATTTTGTAAGGCTATTGTTGCCATAGATAGTGATCTGGGCAAAGTAAATTGAAAACCTTCTAGAAAGGATTCCCCATTCTAGATGCCATTATGAACATACGTAATTCATGAGAGGTCAAAATATCAACATTGACTGGAGTTTAGAAGAAGTTGATTCCAACCCTCATGGATGACTTTGAGGGTTTCAACACTTCAGTGGAGGAAGTAACTGCAGATGTGATGGAAATAGCAAGAGAACTGGAATTAGAAGTAGAGCCTAAAGATGTGACTAAATTGCTATAATCCCATGATAAAATTTTAAAGGATGAGGAGTTGCTTCTTATGGATGAGCAAAGAAAGTGGTTTCTTGAGATGGAATCTACTCCTGGTGAAGATGCAGTGAACATTGTTAAAATGACAACAAAGGATTTAGAATAGTACATAAATTTAGTTGATAAAGCAGAGGCAGGGTTTCAGAGGACTGACTCCAATTTTGAAATAAGTTTTACTGTGAGTAAAATGCTATTAAACAGCATCACATGCTACAATGAAATCTTTCATGAAAGGAAGAGTCAACCGATGTGGCAAACTTCATTGTTGTCTTATTTTAAGAAACTGCCACAGCCACCCCAGCCTTCAGCAACTACCACCCTGATTAGTAAGCAGCTATCAACATCGAGGCAAGACCTGCCACCAGCAAAAAGATTATGACTCGCTGAAGGCTCAGATGGCTAGCATTCTCTTTTTTTCAAATTTTTTTTTTTATTGTACTTTAGATGAAGGTTTACAGAACAATTAGTTTCTCATTAAATAGTCAGTACACATATTGTTTTATGACATTGGTTAACAACCCCACGACATGTCAACAGTCTCCCTTCTCAACCTTGGAGGACCTTTGTTTTTTTTTGGTGAAAATATACATAGCCAAAGATACACCATTTCAAAAATTTCTACATGTCCAATTCAGTGACATCAATTACATTCTCCCACTTGTGCTGTTATTCTCACTATCCTTTTCCAAATTATTCCATCACCATTATCTTCAACTCACTGTCCCATAGGCTTCCCATCAAACCTTTTGAGTTGCTGTTGTCAATTTGATCTCACATAGCTAATTTTTTTTTTTTTGTACTTTAGATGAAGGTTTACAGAACAAATAGTTTCTCATTCAACAGTTAGTACACATATTGCCCTATGACAATGGTTAACAACCCCATGACATGTCAACATTGTCCCTTCTCAACCTTGGGTTCCCTATCACTAGCTTTCCTGTCCCCTCCTTCTAGTCCTTGTCCCTGGACTGATGTACCTCATTAGTCCCATTTTGTTTTATGGGGCTGTGACGGCTAGCATTTTTTAGCAATCATTTTTTAATTAAGATATGTTCATTTTTTTTTAGACACAATGCTATTGCACACTTAACAGACTATACTACAGAGTAAACATAAGTTTTACATGCAATGGGAAATAAAAAAAAAATTGTATGACTCACTTTATTGTGATATTTGCTTTATGGTGGTGATCTGGAACCGAACCCGCAATAGCTGAGGTATGCCTGTACCAATTCAACAGTTTCTACATGTACAATTCAGTGACACTGATTACAATCTTCAAGTTGGGCAACCATCCTCTCCCTTTTCTGAGTTGTTCTTCCCCCATTAGCATAAATTCACTGCCCCCTAAGGTTCCTGTCCAATCTTTAGAGTTGCTGTTGTCAATTTGATCCCATCTAGATAGTTCTTAAAAGAATGTAATGCTCCAGGCAGACATTTTTTACCAGTTAAGCTAAACTATTCTTTGGTTTTAAGAAGACTTCAGGGGATATTTCTGGTTTAAGGTTTAAAGATTATCTCAAGGCAACAGTTTCAGGGGTTCATCTAACCCTCATGGCTCCAGGATGTCTGGAGTCCACAAGAATTTGAAATTCTCTTCTGTATTTCCCCCTTCTAGATCAGAATTCTTCTATGGAATCTTTGAAATGATCAGTAATGATAGCCAGATACCATCCAGTTTTTCTGGTCTCACAGCAAAGAAGGCAACTGTTCATGGAGGCAATTAGCCACACATTCCATATTCTCCTCCTATTCCTGACTCTCCTTCGTTTGTTTCAGAAGAGACCAATTGTTGTGCCTTGGATGGCCACTTGTAAGTTTTAAGACCCCAGGCACTACACGTAGAACTAGGAGGTAGAACAGCAACACTAAACACGTTATTAGGCCAATTAAGAGGGATGTCCCATGAAACCATGACCCTAAATCTCCAAACCAAGAAACCAAATCCCATGAGGATTTTGGTCATACTTAAGGAGCCTCAGCAGCTCCTCTTTTGTGGTTGTTGTAAATATATCTATCACACAACTTTTGCCACTTCAACTTTTTACAAGTGTACAACTTACTGATAGCATTTACAATAATTGGCTGTGTAACCCTATCCTTAATCAGTGCTATTTTTCTATCACTGATAACCTCCTCTTTCCTCCTCCCTCCTGCTCCTGGAGACTACCAATAAACTTTGATCTCTATATATTTGCCTTTTCTTGTCTTTTTATATAAGTGAGGCCATACAATATCTGTCCTTTTGTGACTGACTTATTTCACTCAGCATAATGTTTTCAAGCTCCATCCATACTGTAGCATGTATCAAGGCTCCACTTCTCCTAATGGCTGAGTAGTATTCCATTGTAAGTATGTACCACATTTTGTTTATCCATTCATCTGTTGATGGGCATTTAGGCTGTTTCCACCTTTTGGCTACTGTGAATAGTACTGCAATGAACACTAGTGTACAAGTTCTTTTTGAGTCTCTGCTTTCAAGCTTTTGAGTATATACCTATGAGTGGAATTGCTGGGTCATATGGCAGTTCTATGCTTAGTTTTTTGAGGAACCACCACACTGTTTTCCATAATGGCTGTACCATTTTGCATTCCCACCAGCTATGGGTAAGGGTTCCAATTCCCCAAATTCTCGCCAACATTTGTTATTATTTTCTTAATCTTAGCCATGCTAGTGGGAGTGAAATGTTATCTCATTGTGGTTTTCATTTGCATCTCTTTGATGGCTAATGACGCTGAGCATCTTTTCATGTATCTGGCGACCATCTGAAATGGTCAAGTCCTTTGCCCATTTTACGACTGGATTATTTGTCTTTGTTGTTGAATTGTTGAAGTTTTATATATATTTTATTTAGTTATTAGGTTCTTGTCCGATATATGGTTTCTGAAGATATCCTCCCAGTCGGTAGCTTGTCTTTTCACTTCTCTGGTAAAGTCTTTCGATGAACAAAAGTTTTCAATTTTTATAAGGTTTCATTTATTTATTTTGTCTTTTGCTGTTTGTGCTTTTGTTATTAGATGATCCACGGTTAAAAGCTAGGCTTGACAGTGTTGCTCCTTCATTTTCTTCTAAGAATTTTATGGTTTTAGTTTGCACATTTAGGTCCTTAATCCATTTTGAATTTGTTTTTGTGTATGGTATGAGGTGTGGATCCTGTTTTCTCAGTGTGGTTTTAATTTGTATTTTTTCTTGTAATAGAAAGTTTTAAAAATCCTTTCTAATTACGTTGTAACCTGCTAGTATTAGTTCTTAAGTAATTATCACAAGACTTCCTTAAAGAAATAACACTAAGATGGAAGATTTGTAAAAAAAGTAAAAAAAAGAGGCCCAGCAAGTGAAAACTATACACATTACCATGATTTAATAAATACATCAATGCCATGGTTATTGTTGTAAAATTCTACTTCTGGAAAATAAAATATTAAACTCATTTTGTATAGTGCCACAGGTGAGCACATATTTAATTACGAGAACCTGCCCTTCACATGGTACTCTGTGAGGCAAACACAAAAGCCCCAATAACACTTTTGATCATTCCAGAAATGATAAAACACATTTTCACCAATCATAAGTACCCCTTCACCTCGATTAGAATTATTCCAGTTGTGATTTTTGGCAGTAATGGTGCCAGTGAGCATGTTACTCTTCCTCTAGAATTTTACTATGTAACCTGAGGTGTAAGATCAAAAATGAAAGGAAATGATACTTTGCCACAAGAACTGAATGATGTACAAGTTTACCTTTCCATTTAGCAACCAGCTTAGGATCTGAAATTGTGAAGTTTGGACGGCTTCTTGACAGAATACCTTTTCCAAAATAACCCTTCCAAGAAGAGGGGAAAAAAAAAAAAGTTAGTTCATGTTTAATTATAAATGTCTAAGCTGAGCTAAGTAACTACTTCACAACAGGTTCACCCCGTTTTTCATAGCTTTACATTTTACTTTGATTATCTAACGCTTACTATAAAGATCTTCGTTTGAAGACTACTAATAAGGTTTTAGTACCCCTCATTCATCTCACAACAAATGATTTCAGTCTGTGTCTCATGAGCTGAAGGCACAGGGTAGGTAGAGGCAGAATTTCTTCTTACCATGTGATCAGGAGCACAGCATACCTGAGCAGGGGACCTGTCTGCTACTCAGGTACAAAAAGCTTCTTAAATTCTTTTTTTTTTCCATTTTATTGTGGTAAAATATATGTAACATAAAATTTGTCATTTTAGCCATTTTTAAATGTACAATTCAGGGCCATTATGTTCACCATGCTGTGCAACCATCACCTCGAATTCTTTTTAATCCTAGAATTGAACTACTCCTCTCCTTCCTGCCCATTCCAAAAACAACATATATAGTTTATATAAACTGTCTAGAAAAGGCACATTTATACAGATAGAAAGCAGATCCGTGGTTGCCTCAGGCTGGGAGTGGGAGGAGGGATTAAGTGCAAACAGGTACAGGGAACTTTCTGTGGTGATGGAAATGTCTGAAAACTGGACTGTGGCGATGGTTGCATAACTCTGTAAATTACTACAATCCTTGAATTGTACACTTACAATGGGTGGATTTTATGGTATGTAAATTATACCTCTACAAAGTTATTAAAAATAAATGCCCCCAGCAGTTTGAATGGGCTATGGGAAAAACAGACAGAAAGAAGGAAAGAAGGGGAGGAAGAAACAAAGGGAGGGAGGGAGGGAGGAAGGAAGGAAAGGAAGCCAGCTACCAGTCTCAACCTAAACCTAGCACTGCTGCTGGAAAATAGGAAAACCTAGAGCTCGTCTTACCTAAGAAGTCCCCAGCCAGGAGAGAGAGCAGATAAGGAGCTGGAGTACATTCTCAACTCTCATGTCATTTGTCCGTAAGCCAGCAATGGCTCCCCAAATTACAGCCATGGGAAGGGAGACACTCCTACAAGTGCCACCACGACGCTTGCCCGCTGCCTGTATACCCTAATCCCAATTCTTCATCTTGTGGTGATGGAAAGGTTGTTCTCCCACAAAGGTTAGGGAGCTGCAGCTCTGAAGCATCAGCTTCAAAATCGATTCATGGAAAAAGAAAGAAAAAAGTCTAGAATGATATGCCCACTCTGTGGTTACCTCTGGGAACAGGAATGAGAGTGAGGGGGAGAATGCCCACTTTTTACCATTACCTTTATATAAATGGCTAGATTTTTTTTTTTTACAATGAACATGCATTGCTTTTACAATTGAAAGAGAAAAAAAGGTCAATCCACTGGCTCTACTTCATTGTTGAAATATAGGTTCACAGGGGCATCTGATCAGTCATTTCGTTATCGTCATAACGTATGGCTCTGGGCACCCGATTCACACTGTACTGTCCCTACACTGTACCAAGCTGCGAGGGAAGAGTGTGCAATGTTTATGGTTAGTCGTGGGGCTGGGAGGGGCAGGGAGGAGAAGGAGAAAGACAGCTTGCTCAGAGTTGTCAGGAATCAGCCCCATCGAGGCTGCGTGTACTTACCTTCCCATACAGCTGCTCAATAGCCTCTGCATTCCTCACAATTACATTGTTGTCCATCATTTCAGCATGGTACACTTGGAATTCTTTCTTAGGAATGTGGTCCTGACCGAAAGGGATCGGAAATGGAGACTCATAATGCTCGTATACTTTTCTCTTCCTCTTTGGGGCACGGAAAACCGCTTCTGCCATTTTCCCAAGCTAATTGCTCTTTAAAGAATAGACAACAAGGAGGAGGAAACAAGATAGTCAGTCAGTAACTACACTGATCAACAATGAGGACACACTGATAAACTTTGTGGTCTGTGAAAAAACACCGGAGTATTTATGAAACAGTGAACTAAAAGACACAGAGTAAGAACATTCTGTACGAGCAGTGCAAATCACCTTCACCTAGACTACGTCATTCCTCACAACAACTCCCAAGAAGTCAGTGGTGGACTTTTCACTGGGGAATTTTATCTATCATCGATAAAAGAAGTGAGTCCAATCCTTCTTAAACTTTTCCAAAAAACAGAAGAGGAGGGAACACTTCCTAAGTCATTCTATGATGCTAGCATCACCCTGATATCAAAGCCAGACAAAGACACCACAAGAAAACTACATACCAATATCCCTTAAGAAGTCTCAACAAAACACTAACAGGATTATACTCCATGATCAAGTAGGATTTACCCTAAGAATGCAAGCTCAACATTCAAAAATCAATCAATATACACATTAACAGAAAGAAAGAAAAAAACCTCAAGATCATCTCAATTGACTCACAGAAGGCATTTGACAAAATCCAACACCCTTTCATGATAAAAACACTTAACAAGCTAGGAATAGAAGGAAAATTCCTCAGCATGATTAAGGGCATTTATGAAAAACCCACAGCTAATATCATACTCAATGTAGAAAGACTAAAAGCTTTTCCCCTTAAGATCAAGAACGCCCACTCTCACCACTGTTACTCAATATTGCACTAGAAGTTCTAGCCCAAGCAATCAGGCTAGCAATAAAAGGCATCCAAAGCAGGAAGAAGGAAGTAAAGAAGTCAGTGATGTTATTTCTAATTGACAAGACTGAGGCCTAGGTCACAAGGCTAGGTCATCTGAGAGCAAGCACAACAGGATTTCTGCTATGCCTTTTTTACTTTTACTCTCTCAGTCAGTCAACAGACATTTCCTGAGTACCTATCTGGGGTTCCTAATAATCATCGGTGCTAGCAATATAAAGAGGAAACCAAAGGAAACCCTGTCCTCAAAGAATTAAATTTAATGAGCACTCCATTTTCCAATAAAGGACCTTAAAATATACTTCTAAAACCTTTCAATCATTCCCTCCCCCATCCCCCTGCCTTTTTTTTTTTTTTAACAAGAAATTTAAACAACAAGACACCTGACTTGAAGGGAAAACTATCTAGGATTCATTTCTCTTAGAGAAATTCATCCCTACTTAAAGACAGATTGCCCTACATGTAACAGTTATGTGCAGAAAAAGTTATAAAATTGTCCTTGGCTTTACAATGATAAATGACAAACATTAAAGTTCTCCAATAGAACAAGGTATGCAAGGATTTTTACGTCGTTTTTTGTTAAACAGTGACAGCAAAATAACTTACTGGAATATAAACATAAGAGCTGAATGAGTATGCCACTAGTAGGGAAAGGGGGTATTTTCACAGAACCAGAATTTCTCCCCATCCCATCTCCACTTGATGTTGATCAAAACATACCATTGGCCGTTTAGTTAAAAAAAAAAAAAAAAAAGGAATATGCTTGTGCACGTACACCAGTTACGTCATGTACAATAAAGGAATGGGGAAGGGGAAAAATGAAATTGAGAAAATTATACTGTCATAGTCAGGATGTGGTAGAACCGAATTGGGTTTCTAATTGAGAATGTACTCTTGTTCTGTTGTAGAACGGAGTTCTGGAGTAAAGTATCAGGTTCCCTTTTTAGTAGACACCTCCTGTCTGCTGCTGGAACACATCAATTGTATCTTCATCCTTCATTTCTTACTGTGCACGTGTGTCTGTCTCATTGATTGCCTGCCTGTAAAATCGGGATCTGATCTGCCTCACTGACAAACCCTGTTGTTCACAACAGGCTTTCATTAGTTTACTAAGTGGTATATGCCTCTTTATCTTAAACTGCACCACAGAACCATCCTCCCTGCCACCTTCAAATTAATATGATCGTTGTTCTCAGTCTTGACTCCTTCCTTAGGTTTTTTTGTCAGCCATGGTCTTGAGTGCTGGAGTCCCCTCAGCTGCTGCTTCACAAAAGAGGTACCAGGCCCACACTGAACAAGCACACAAGCAGCACCAGGAATCAATCATTCCCCAGTTTTTCAGTAATAAAAACAATGACAGCAGTGACTATCACTTAAGGGTCTGTGATGTACTGCCCAGTGTTAGTGCTGAAGAGCAGGGATTTTGAAGTCAGAATGCCAGGGTTGGAATCCAGCTTCACCACTTTGCCACTGACCTTGAGCAGAAGTTACTTAATCTCTCTGTGCTCTAGTTTCCTCCTCTGTGAAATATGGACAAAAATAGACTCTATGTTGTCCTCAACATCCATAGACTGCTTAGAACAGGATCTGCACATAGTGAGCATAAAGTATGTTTCTGCTATAATAATTATAACAGGGTGAGCATTATCAACACCATTTTATAAACGGGGAACTACATGTAGGTTAGAGAGATTTGCAAAGGACCCTGTAAAGTGGTGGAACTGGATGACCTCAGGTCTGTTGAACTCCAAAGCCCATGATCTCCCCTCTGGGTTTTGCTGTATGCTACAGCCCTGTCTGTCCATTTCTGTTGGTAGGCTGTTTCTCAAAGTTAGAGGGTGTTATGGATTGACTTGTGTCCCCTCAAAATGTATGTTGAAATCCTAACCTCTATACCTATAAACATGACCCTGTTTGGAAACTGGGTTTCTTTAGTTATGTTAATGCGGTCAAATCAGAGTAGGGTGGGTCCCAAACCTAATCGCTTCTGAGTTACAGAAAGAGGAGAATGGACAGAGACACACAGGGAGACGATGAAGACAGGTGATGGAGACAGATATATTTACAAGACCAGAATGCCAAGGATTGCTGGCAGCTACTAGAAGCTAAAATAGACAAGGAAGAGCCTCCCCTAGAGCCATGCCCTGAATTCAGACTTCTAGCCTCCTGACTGTCTTATATAGTGGCGGAAGATGAGCCCCTCAGGTTGCAAGGCACTCAAAAGATGACTGGGGAAGAGCTGCCTCTTCAAAGTAGAGTCGACCTTAATGACGTGGATGGAGTTAAGCTTTCAGGACCTTCACTTGCTGAGGTGGCATGACTCAAAATGAGAAGAAACAGCTGCAAACATTCATTAATAATCGGAACATAGAGTGTACTCAGTTTGAATCTAGGAAAGCTGGATGTCATCAAAATGAAATGGAATGCATAAATATCAATATCCTAGGCATTAGTGAGCTGAAATGGACTGGTATTGCCCATTTTGAATTGAACAATCATATGGTCTACTATGCCAGGAATGACAAACTGAAGAGGAATGGCATCACATTCATCATCAAAAAGAGCACTTCAAGATCTATCCTGGAGGCGGGGCCAAGATAATGGAGTAGTCAGACACTTCCAGTGGACCCTCTTACAACAAAGACTTGAAAAAACAAGTGAATTGATTATATATGATGTTCTAGGAGCCCTGAACATCTAAGGCAAAGTTGAGGAACCAGACTGACTAGCAAGGGGAGGGAGAGACGGTTCAGAAGCAGCAAGGAGTTGCCAGACCTGACCCGGCGAGAGCCTGAACCCTTCAGGACTGAGCAGCTCATGGGTGAGCGGTGAGGCAGGCAAACAATGGTGCTCGGGGGGCATGTCTTCCCCACCGGGAGAGACCCAGTGCCAGAGAGTCTACTTGGCCACCCAGAACCAGTGAGAAGCAGCCCTGGATCGGTGAAAGGAAAGTACTTGCGTACGGCCTATTGCGTGGGTAAAACCTCTCTCTCATTTACCTCCCCACTCCCTGCTCTGCACTGGGTCCTGGACTGGCTTCAGCAATTGCCAAGTCCCCTGGGCTGGAAGTAGGATCCGTCATATGTCCTAAGCCATTCTCCTGGCCTTGGAGAGTAAACAAATTAACAAACAGGGGAAAAAATAAACTGCCAGCTCCCCTAAGCCAGGAACCCAGGGTAGGCACAGCTCCTTTGCCTAGGCACAGGCATAAGGGATCCACGGACTTTGAGTGTCTTTCCCCCTGCAGACACTTGTGTGGGCCCACTTCAACAGCGTAGGTCCTCATTACTGCAGTACAACAGGGTATATACCTGAAGCCTAACTTCAACTGTTTCAGCTGTGAAGTGGCAGATTCCTGATACTTGACACTGCTCTGCCCATTAAGCAGGGTCTTCACCTACCCACATCAGGGGCCTGAGGACTGGTGGCTCCACCCACACCACCTGGCCACCTGTGATAGGGGCCCAAGAATAAAAGGTGCCCCCAGTCCTTACAGCCAACAGCACTGGGTGGTCACAGTCCGGCTGCAAAACCTACCCACCTATGTGCTCTAGGGAACAGGGAAACGCCTTCCTCCTGGACACTCGGGGGCTGCTGTCAGCCCCCTGCCTTGCTCAGAGTATGTCCCCCTGCTGCAGCCAGATGCCTGTGTCTACACCAATCACCCATGCCTGTCTAGAACTGTAGGTGAGAGCCTACACCACACACTTGGTGGCTATCTACCTGGGCACCTGAGCTGAATCCATACAGGAGGAGTGGGCGGACTCCTGAGCTCACATACCTAGTAACAGAT